TTTTTTGAATATCTCAATACTAGGTACAAATAAAGTTTTGAATGATCTACGACTTGGTTGAACGATCTACTACGATCTACTACTTGGTTGAACCTTATACTTTGTATCCCTGTTTAGCTATAGGTTTGTTACGTTCTTAAAGAATGTTTTTTCGGCAAGGAACTTGTTATATCTCTCCAAGATTTTATTTTCTGTTGTAGTATTTTTGCTGGATTTAAAAAGAAATTGCTATATTCTAAATATAGAGATATAAAATACCTTTTTGGTAATCCGGCAAAAATACTACCAAATCTTATCTAGACATTAATTAATTCAATTCTAATTTAGAAATTTATTATTAGTCGTTCTAAAAGCACAACATAAAAAAACTTCCACCTTTTTATTTGCATTGTTTCAATTGTTTATGGCGTTATGAAACATCATTAGATAATTTTTGTTAAAAGTGGAATGTGATTGGTTAACTTTAAATTATAATAATTACGCGGTGTTTAATAGAAAATTATGTTACTACAAAGACTGATCCTTGAGAAATGATGTATTTTAACTTCGTTTTCCTTCCAGTCTAATATACCACCTTGGTTTAAAAACTTAAGTACAAAAAATTTTTGACGTTAAAAATAACATTTTTGTAAAAATACAACATGTGATATAATAAAATGAATATTGTATGTATTGTATAATAGAATGAATATTGTGATATAATAAAATGAATAAGTAAAAAGAATTTTTAACTCGTTGTAGGTTATAACAGAGATTGTTTACAACTGCTACTCCCAACAATTATATTTTAATAATCTCCTAAAGATTTTACTATTCTCTTAAAGATTTTAAATTGGATATTTGAATCGTTTTTTGTTAAACGGACGTAAGTATTTAAAAAAATCGTATCAAACTCACTATTCAAAGTGAGTTTGATACGATTTTCTGTTGTTTGAAGATAGACTCACGAAACTTCCTGCTAACACGATTTGTGTTAGCAGGAAGTTTCTAAATGTATCCGTAAAGACGCAATAAACAAGCAAACTTCTATAGTATCTGTTAAGTAAATTAAGTTTTTTTTATTCTTAAAAAAGTTTGTGTTTTGTGACTTAGGGGTCGTCCATAAAGTACGTACGCTCATAGGGGGGAGGGGGGAGGTCTTCAAAAAGCCTACGAAAGCGTATGGGGGGGGGGGGGGGAGTGCTTATTTTAAAAGTACGTACTTCGAATTTCTAATTTTACACAATTAACCAGCTAGTCAACAGAAAAGTTAAAATTCTGACTAAAGATTCTAGTTTGCCAACATAAAAAGATGTACTGTAAAGGGAGTAGAAGGTATAGTTTCTCTCTATGCACACACATGCATGGGCGCCCGCAAGATTTTTTGATGTTCCAGATAAACCACTTCCACACATTATGCAAACTACAAACTTAAGTATGTTTATACCTATGCCATTTGAAGAGGCCTTGCAAAAAAATGTTATGGCGGTAATCTGGGAACAAAAAAACCCTCAAATGCTTGTATCCCCTCCCCTTCCCAAACGTGAGGGCACTAATGTAGTAAAATTTTCCTCCCCCCTCCCCCAAAAAAATAAATAAATGAGGGGTTGTACATTTTGCATCGACATTTACATTGACATTTTGTAATTTACAATATTTTTCAACGAAATTTAAATTCTGTCGATAAATTTGAATTTAATTTTAGATCGTTAAGTTAAAAATTATACTACAGTAAGTGCCCTCATGTTTGAGCAGGGGGGTAAGCGTTTCAGGGCTATTTGTTGACAGCTCTCCGCCATACCAATTTTTTACAAGGTCTCCTCATTTGGCATAGGTACAAACATACTTAAGTTTGGAGTTTGCACAATGTGTGAAAGTGTCCTATCTGAAATATCAAAAAATCCTGCAGGCGCCCATGCCACCCCTTATATACTGGCCCTGAGTATACTCAGGGCCAGTATATAATAAGTGGCATGTGTGCATGCATGTGCAAAAAATAGGTAATTAATTATATTTTAATTTATATTTGTATATATTTAATGATGTTTTTTAAATTGGAATCCTTTGCCGCTAACAAAGGGCTTTAGGGTCGTTTAAATACGTTTTTCACCCCCCGCCTATTTTTTTTTTTTTTTAATACAAAAATTTATTGAAATAAAAAAGGTGAAGGAGGTACCCTAGATACTTTTAAAGTATCTAGGGTATCTCCTCTACCTTTTTTTTTTCAATAAATTTTTGTATTAAAAAAAAAAAAAATTTTTAAAAAATAAAAAACATAGACAAAGCCAAGTTTGAAGGTGATCTTTCTCAAACATCAAAAAAAGCTGCTGCGATCCCTGTTAACCTATATTTAAGTTCATCTCACTTTGTCCTAGATTCCCAGAAGTTAAAGTGGGACTGGCAACTAGATTTTCCGAAATTAAAGGTTAAGCAAAGTTTTTCTCCTTAAACTATATGCATTTTAATCTAAAGTTTCAGTTTGCCCTAGTTTACTCACTATTAGCATTCCATGCTTAGTTTACTCACTATTAGTTTACTCACTATTAGCTTAAAGTAGAATGCTTAAAGTAGTCTTGCAAAAGATTTTAGAAAGAAAACAATAAAACAAACAAATTCATAAAACAATAAAAACAATAAAACAAATCGAATTTCATATGAAAGTTGTTCACAACAACTTTCATATGAAATTCGAAATTCTTAAATATAATAAAGTTGAAATGAATATGATATATTTTCTCTATATTACAGAGGCAAACAAAAGAAGTAAAATCTAAATTAAAAGTTGATAAATATGTATAGGACGCACGGGGCATAACGGGACAGTTATTGCTTATATCTCAACTAAAATTATTTTTTCCTAAAACTTTTTTTGATAAAACATTTTAAATTATTGTGCTTCATTTTTGTAAAAAAAATTAATTTTAGAAATACCAAAATGCATTAAAAGTACCAAAATGCATCAGTAAGGTTACAAAAAAACAAAACTTGCGTACTTTCTTCAGCGATACAACAAAATTTTGCTAATTTGCTTTATTTATAAAAAGTTTATATTTTTCAGACAGTATCTTTAATCCTCTTTTAGAATCTGGTTTAAAAAAAATATCTGGAATTGAACTTTTTAAATATTTCTAATTTTAGTACAATGACTTTTACGGGCATAACGGGACAACTAGTTATATATATAATTGGTTATATTACTACCATTTTGTTTACAGTTTGATGATTTTATTTTAATATAAAATATTATTTTCATTATTTAGAAATGCAATATTAGTAATAAATTCAAAGTAATTGTTATTTCATTAACTTAATTTCAATAATTAACAGTGTTTAATGTAAATAACGATGGTAAGAAATTATATAAGAAAGATTAACCATCCAAAATGGAATGAAATGCAGTTTTAGCTGTGAATAAAAAGGAACTTAGAATTCGAAAAGCTGCTGATACATAAGGCATATTTAAATTTGCTCTACAATTGGCATATTGCTAATAAGTCAGCTTATCAAAAATGTTACCAAATAGTTTCAGGATATTTTTTGTGTGATTTATGGGATCCATAATATTTTTTGTTTAATTTTTAATTTAGTAGTAGTTACCAATTTAATAATACATACTAGTTTTGCCCACTTAAGTTTGTTTCTTTAAGAGTATTTTATAATGAAACACAAAAAGTTTTTTTTATTTTAGTTGTTATTTTGTGGTGTATGGGTGTATGGGCGTGTAATTTGTATAGGTGTGTTACTTTTTTAAGATTTTAATGTCTAATCATATGAAAATGATAAAATGCTTTCATTTTTTCACTTTTAAAGCTTTATAATTAACGAATAACTGCTGCTTTTTAACTGCCCCGCTTTGCCCCACCCACTTACAAAATGTAGAAACTTTGCTAGTCTAGAGTTTCGTTACCTTGGTTGCCATAAATTATTTTTAGAATTTTTTTTTTTTGTTTTCTTATATCAATGAATTTTAGGAAACTAAAATTCATTGATATAAGAAAACGAAAAAACAGTGTTAACAATGATTAGTTTATCCGCAACTAGCATTTGTTTCTTAAGTGTCCCTATATGCCCACGCTCTACCCTATTATACATAAAAGTTTGTTTTTTTTATTTATATTTTAAGACACAGAAAAAATAGGCAAATTTAGAAAAATATATAGATTTTTTATTTTTACTTTCTTTACAGGGAAATAATGAAAGCCTCATATCGCTAACATTTTTTTTCTTCACGAGGATTTGCAATAGAAAATTACTGCGTAAAGAAACAAAAAATAAAACCGTGCAGTCTTTTACAAATGAAAGTTATAATTGGACCTTTTAAAATAGATATATTTCTTTACCAAACTTTTTACCAAAAAATGACATGCAACCTTTTAGAAAAATTATATACTTTGCATATTAACTTATATACTTAAATTATACCACTTTTTACCTATATATTTTTATATTACTCTGTCATGTCTTTTCATTTTACTCTGTCATGTCTTTTTATTTTACTGTCTTGTCTTTTTATTTTACTGTCGTGTCTTTTTATTTTACTGTCGTGTCTTTTTATTTTACTATTTATTATTCTTTTATAACTTAAATGTTTTACGTCTATAAGAAGACTTGTTGTAAAAAAAGACCGTTAACAATTAAAAAAAAAAAAAAAAGATGACCAAATAAGAATACACCATGCCAAATTTAATAACTTGTAAACGGCACCATACAAAAAATAATAAACTATTAAATATATATATATATATATATATGAAATAATAAATATATAATTAACAATGTTGCAAAACTAAAAAAAGGAATGAATTTCATTACGCGCATTTAAAAAGTCATGAATCTATTAAAAAATAGTGTAGCAACTATGAATTACAAAAAGAAAAGCGCCAAATTAACGATACAATGACAAAACCAATTCATTTGAAACGCAGATTGAGTCATGCATTTTTTAGCATTTGTAAGTCACTTTCATTCATTTAACACATAAGTCATTCAAAAGATCAAGAATTGAATTGAAATTGGAAAAAAAAAACTGAATGTCAAATGATTTTTCTGCATGCATTTTGACGTAGAGTGAAGAAATTTTTTTCTTTCTGGTATTTTACTAAGAACTCTATATTTTCATTCAGTACATTTTTAACTTCACGGAACGTTTTTCCAAAAATCAAGGTAAACTTGAATTTTTTTTTTTAAAAAAAAGTGTTTAAACTTTTTGTAGATCATATTTATTATTTGAATTTTCTGTTAACCACTGTGAATGTGGTTAACAGAATGTCTGATAATTACCAATCAAATAAGTTAATTTTATTACCTTAATAATGGTTCCAAAAATTCTCTAATATATAAAACGATTTTAACAAATCATAAAAAATAGTTGATAATATGTGTTATATCATTTTAAAAGTTATTTAAGACATATTTAAGACGTACTTGATAATATATGTTATATCATTTTAAAAGTTATTTAAAAACGAATCTCGGACCGGATGGAAGCGATCCGAGTCCGAGAAAACCTAACCCTTTAATTTTCCATTTGAAATTCCAGAACAGTTTTAAAGAAATTTTAAAGATATTTTGTTGATATGTTAAAATTTTTGATGCTTAGACTTTTGATACTAAAATTTTTAATACTTACATAATTTAGAAAGATAGGTAGATTATGATTGTTCCTGTTCTTAACGGACGTTTTAGGGACTTCTTTAGGAAATCATGATGAATTTCATAACATTTAATTCCGGTGTTATTCATAACACGCTGATAAATTTTTGTTAATAAATGTTATTCATATCACGCTAATCAATTTATGTTTTATTTCCAGCATTTTTTAAAAATGGTTTTATTGATTTTTCTACACCATACATTATTTAATTATAAAAATAAATTTTACATCTGTTTTAAAAGTATTTGAATATTCAATACAGTAAAAAATAAATTTTTACTCTGAGTGCAGAATAAACGTTCCCGTGTGCAGAACAAACGTACCCTTTATACTTTGAGTACAAAATAAACGTTACCACTGGTTTATTAGGCACGAAAAATCCTAAGCATTTTTTCCAAGTTACTAGGATATTTGTAACTTTAATCAAACGTTACGAATATTACTAGAACCACATTTATCCAAGTTACTAGGACCACATTACAAATTTTTTTGCTGAAATTAAAGTTCTTTACTAAGATTCACTTTATAAAAGAAATTTAAGTCTTGCGGTAAAAAAAAGTTGGGGTCGTTTTTTGGCACCTCAGAGTAATACCATTCACATTTTTTTACTGTTTCTTTTTGGATGTACAGCTTAAGATAACTAAGTTTCGTTTAATAGTAGAAAAAAGTTCGAGTTCGAGTAAGAGAGCAAAAATCTTTGGAAAAACCAAGTACATTTTTGATTGGTCGATAAAAATACACATATTTTATTTGCTGACCAACATAAAAACAAAAAAAGTTCAATGAATTTAGACTATTCAAAAACAATCAGACATTTTTTCAATCATAAAATAGAAAAAAAAGACTTCAAGTAATAAAAATAATGAATATTTTTCAATGTAAAAAAACATAAATAATAATAACTAAAAAACAACATTAAAAATTTTATAGTATTATTATTGCTTTTACTATCCATGGACTTTTTTTTCTCGGGGAAAAAAGTTCCGTGGATTTTCGATGCATTTTTAAAACTTTTACTTTATGAGCCTCCGCAAAAACTCCAGTAGAGATTCTCCACAGAAACTTCACTGAAGTTTCTGTGGAGGCCCTAATGGAAATTATTTGTTTAACGAAAATAAAATAAAGAAGAACCATTTAAAAATTTTTACATTTTTTTATTGGAACACCACTATTAATTTGCGGAAGTTTTTTATTTTTTTAGATAATCAAGTATGCGTTTCAAAAATATGCTAATTCTATTGACTATTCTTATCCAATTTGCTGCAACAAAGATTGTTCCTGGTAAGTATTATAAATTTTGTTCGGGTTTTCTATAGTGAAAAATTTCAAACATATAACGCAAAGCAATAGGTTACTTTTTATTTTCTAATTGTACTTGGCCTTCTAATTGTAATTGGCCAGTGAATGGTTCTTTTTTTTAATCATTTTAAAATCAAATGGGTATACTCTATGATAAAATACTATATGGTATTTACTCTTAAAAATATAATTATTAATAATAACCAGAGGTGTGTGTAAGGGGGAGGGGGAAGGAGGGAGGGAGGGGGTGTTCCACCTCCCTCAAAGAAACTGATTTTCAAGTTATAGCCGGTTTTTTTACAAATTTAGTCGGCTAGTCTGCTATTTTACACAATTTAGTCGGGTAAACATTAGTTTTTTTTTTTTTGGACTTTTTTTTTTAAGGATCCAGTAGGTACTTTTTAAGAACTCCCCCTTCCCCCTCATTTTATTTGTAGAATCGCCTCTGATAATAACTAAAACTTTTACTACATAAAGTAAATACAATTCTTAAAGTATATTTGTTGTTCTTAAAATATAGAGTTAAATAGTGTAATTGAAATATATAGGAAAAGTAACAAATATTTCTTAAATCTTAAGCTCGTTTTTTTGATATTTTCAAAAGAAAGGGGAAAGGCGCCTATGATGGCATACTTAACTTTGAAGCTTCATTATTCAGTATCCTGAAGACAAAGAACAAAAGTTTTGATATGAATACATTCTTTGTTACAAGTAGAACAAAAATAACTTTAGGAGTTTCATCAGTTTTATTTTTTTATAGTTATTTTTATTTTAAAAAAAAGCACAAGTAAGCCATCATAGGCAACTACTGCTCCTAGAATGGCATAGGGGAGAATGGGGCTGGTTAGCATCAAATGTAACTTAACAACTTCATTTGACCTATGAGTCTTCCCTCCGAAATGCCATAAATGACGCGTAACCATCCTAATTAACCCATTCGTGCTACACAGCAGCAGTGTTGAATTTCTTCTTGTAGCAAAGAGATATTGCGTTTTATGTGTTTTTTGAACCAAAAGTTTTTTAGTGAAGTAAAAATTCCTTTTTACTTCAAGAACAAGTATGTTGTTTTTATGAAGAAAAAAAAAAGGTTTTCTCCGCTCGTCAATATTGCAACACACCTCGTCAGTATGTCATCATTAGAAGAAGCCATCATTTTCATTTAAATAAGCTATGTCTGCCTTGTTCAAAAGATAAAATTAAAATAAGTATTTCACTAAACGCACAAAATTTGGAAATAAAATGCATGAAAATTTCATTTCTGCACAGTTAATAATAAAACCACAATCTTAAATATTTAAAGGGATTAAAAATATAACAGCACATCCCAAAATCGATTTTTTTTTAATTATAAAAGCAATATTTGTGCATAAGGGACGTATTTTTACTGAAACTAATATAAAGTCAGTATAAACATGTTGGTCTAATCACTTTTTTGCCATAACCAATATTTATGAAAAAATGACCGGTATACCATTATAGGCGCTATGCCATCATAAGCGTCTTTCCCCTACTTTTACCATTACAGTATTTTATATTTTTTAAAGTAACTTTATACTATTTGTTTTTAAACCACCCAATCTTTCTTTCTTTTTCACAATATTTTTATGCCCAGTCTTTATTTTTAAACTGTAGGTGTTTTTTAACTTTTTTTTTTAATTTTTTCTTTACTGCAGGCAACGGAACATTTATGTTTAATGGGATTTTCCCAGAGATAACAGAAGAAGAATCCAATACACAGTCAGGATTAATGATGATAGAAGCAATGAAGTACGCAATAAAAACGGTGAGTACATATATATATATATATATATATATATATATATATATATATATATATATATATATATATATATATATATATATATATATATATATATATATATATATTTATATAAAGAAATATAATAACTATGAAAAAGCAATTTCTGCCATAAATTTAGATTAACGAAGATCCCAGCCTTCTCCACGGCTACAAGCTAGACATCAAAAACATATATACCGTGAATCAAATAAATGACGTGCGACAAAAAATTTTAACAACCTTTAAAGAAAAGGTACCATTTTTAATTGGTCCATATTCTTCTGAAACATCTTACATTGGAAGCATTTTAACCGGTACGTTCAGTCAAATAACAATCAGCTATGGCGCAACATACAGCGATTTTGACACTAATGATCATACCCATGAATATATGCTTAGAACAGTTCCTTCAGATAAATTCCGCATTCAGGTAAGCAATTGACTTTTTTTACAGTTTTAGAAAAATTTTTACCTTATATAATTACTTCCAAAAGATATATTTAAAAGATATATTTAAATCTATGGTGATACTTTAATTTCAAAATACTGACCTAATTAATTTTTAGTACAAACTGATATTATTTCCGTATTTTTTCCGAGCACTGATTAAATATTTTATTTTAGTGCGAACTGATTTAATACAGTGTATTATTCTAGGTGATTTTGACCAACTTTATTTTTTATATTTAGCAAGTTTATTTTAATTGGTAAGTAGTTTCAAAAGATATATTAAAAAAAAATTTTTATGCTTATTTAAATGATGAACGTTGAATTTGTGAGAAACAAAACTGCAAGGACGATTATATCTTCTATAATATTGAAAATTGCATTAATACACCGTGCATTTTTTACTTTACAGTTTTACTAAAAGGGTTCGAGGAAAAAATCTCCTGGGAAAAAATTCCCCCGAAAAAATCCCCCCGGAAAATATCCCCCCCCCCCCCCAAAAAAAAAAAAAATAAAAAAAAATCTTTTACTGAAAAATTATTAATATGTAGTTATGTTTATTTCTTTATTTATTTCAAATATTTATATAAAATACTTTATTTTTCATCAAAATGTCAAGTTATCCGCTATTCCTCGAAGGTAGCGAATGTGAAACCCTAACCCTAACCCTGACAAACTGCAAACTGGTAAAATGTGAATTTTTTTGCGAACCATCGTAATTAATTTAGCGGTATATTTTAAGTACTTTCAAGCAAAAAAATTATTTAAAAATAAAATAAAAAGGAAATTAAGTGAAGCTAGACGAATACAATATGAATATATATTTTTTTTAATTATTTGATAGATTGCCTGCCCAAACCAAATCCTCAGTCGATGTAGCACTCCGTTGCGAGTCAGGCTATTTGTCAGTCGATGTTGAGTCAGGCTATTTGTCAGTCACCAATAAATAAATAAATATAACTATTTTATTAATAATTTTTAATTTAAAATCTGTCGATAAATTTAAATTTAGTTTAAGATAGTAAAGTTGAAAATTTTACTGCATCAGTGCCCTCACGTTTGGGCAGGAGGGAAGTGTTTTAGGGCTTTTTTGTTCCCAGGGTCTGCCATCCAAAAAAAAGGCCTCCTCATTTAGCATAGGTATGAACATATTTAAGTTTGGAGTTTGCACAATGTGTGAAAGTGCCCTATCTGAAACATCAAAAAATCATGCGGGCGCCCATGCCTCATCCATCCAATGAATTATAAAATCTCCTAGTTACATCTCATTTTTTCAATCTTCTTGTTTTATTGCAAATCTCTAACAGATAAAATAAAACGAGAAGATTAAAACCAATATATCATTAAATAATTTATTTAGATTTATTTGAGATAAAAAATGGTTGATTAAGACCAAGCTATTAATAGTAACAAGATTAACCAGATGTATAGTTACAATTATTAAAGCAACATTACTGATTTATAAATCTCAATATTTTATAGATTCCTTTTAGGATTTTAACTATTTGGTCATGGTAATGGAATTACTAATAGCAAATACGGTTATTTATACTGTGGGTAAGCTACAAATAAAAAAATCCTACTTGCTATAGACGATTTTATCAAGTTCGTATCATCATTGTTAATATTGGAAATAAGCTACAGCAGCATACACCATTATTGCAAGTAAGCTACAGTAGCTTACAATTAGGGACAATTCTACAGGTGTGTGTGTGTGTGTGTTTCATATTCCTAGGGTACATATTATTGCAAGTAAACTACAGAACCTTACAATGTTATTGTAAGTAAGCTACAGTAGCTTACAATATTACTACAGGTAATTTACAGTAGCTGAAAATATAATCGCAAGTAATCTACAGTACCTTACAATATTATTGCAAGTAAGCTACAGTAGCTTGCTATATTAATATATAGGCTATCTAGAATGTATATGCTATATTAATATATAGGCTATCTAGAATGTACATACTATCTAGAATGTACATATTATATAGACTCTAGAATGTACATAGAAAATACTATCTAGAATGTACATAGAAAATACATACATATATAAAAAAATATAGACATGCATTACGACTCATTAATCACTAACAACATCTAAGTAACCTTAGTAAATAGTTTCATAAAAATCAAAAAAAATAGTATTATGAGCCATTCAGTAAAATTTATCAATGTGCCTTTTTTTTAGGATTCTCATTAAATTGCATTTTGCTGGGTAACCCGGCGACTGTGTAACGTTTTAAAGACAAAACTTGAAAAAAGGGGGATGAATCACCATGTGAATTTTGCCAATTTAAAAGCTTTTGGTATCGTTCTCTTCTGAGTTCCTTTTGATTTTTGGTTATTAAGTGTTTTGTCACCACAGCCCTCTTCAGGTCAACTCATTCTTGACTTAACTACAGCCCTCAACTTCAGGTATTTCATTACCTTTTGAATTATAAAATTTGACACCTTCGACTTCTTGGCCAGGGTATGGATAGATCAAATTGGCTCTCTCATGACTTTTTCTTTGGCTTATTGATTTTTTTTTTGTTCTTTCTGTTTGAACTGGATTGTTAAATCGTCTTTCAACATCTTTCATCATTTCAACATCGTTTTTTTACACAAAAAATAGCAGATCTTGAGAAGAAAAAAAACAAGCAAAGCCACAAATATCTAAAAGTAGTTGTTGGGGTAGCGTTATGCAGTTGCTGGGTCACTCAATACAGTCAGTGACATTCTTAGGGTTGCAGTTTATCAGAATTAAATAAAAATAAAAAAAATCTGTATTATGAGCCTAAATATATCTTCTTTTCAATTATTTTTGAAATTATTGCCCATTGTAAAAGAACTTATAATAAAAAATATTAATATCAAATTAAATTTAGGTAGCATTGGATCTCGTTAAGAATCTCAAATGGAATTACTTAGCAGTGATCAGTTCTTATAGTTATGATGGAGAAAGTGATGCAAGACATTTTATTGCTAAGTTACCTACAATTGGTGTTTGTTTAGCTGAAAAAGTAAATAAAATCTTTTCCTGATTCTGATTGCTCAGAATATTTTATTTATTTTTTGGTCATATATATATATATATATATATATATATATATATATATATATATATATATATATATATATATATATATATATATATATATATATATATATATATATATATATATATATATATATGTATATATATACATATATATATATATATTGCTTTTTTATTTTCCATTAAAAATTTTTCAGATTGATTTACCAAATAGTCCAACACTAAAGCAATATGAAAAGACAATGGATGCATTAATAACAGACAAAGAAAAGCGATTAAAAGGAGTTATTTTGTTTACAAACAAGAAAGACACACAAGAAATTTTTTCAATAATAAAAAAACAACTTATGTATAAAAGGTTTGTGTTTATTTGCATTTATGGTTGCACAAACTATGCTGAAATTATTGAAGGAGCAGAAGATATTTTAAATGGTACATTAAGCATTGATATTGCATACAAAGAAATGCCAGGATTTGAAGCGTATTTTACTAATCTTGAAATAACAGAAAATTCAGATTCATATTTTAAGAAAGCTTGGCAAAGAGTATTCAACTGCTCCTTATCTGGAGATGATTTTAGGAGAAAAAAATGCACAGGTAAACAACTTCTCGTTTTAATAACTTTACTTTATTCATTTTTTATTAATTCAATTTCACCACTTTACTTACCAGACTACTTTTTTTTCTATACTTATCCAATATCCTCAAACTTTTTAACATTACTACTTCTCCAATATCCTTACTTTTTAAAATTACAACTGATCCAATATCCTCAAACTTGATAACCACTTTATTACCAGACTGCTTTTTTTCATTACTTTTCTTCAAAATTTTTAACATTACTACTGATCCAGATTTTGTGAGAGTTTTTCTCCTCACAACACCATTGTTACATGATTGCTAACATTATTGTTGTAAATTGTTTGCTGCTAATGTTATTGTTTTCTACTACTGTTTATCATACTGAATGGTATAGCTTGTTTGTTTTTTCTAATGTCCATTACATTGAATGGCTTGGCTAATGAATTTGATTACTTAAATCTTAAAATTAAAATTAAAAGATTTTTCTTTCAGTGTTAACTTTTTCAACTTAAAAATAAAATTTTTGTGATTGAAGTCTTAAAAAAAATAAAAAATTTTAATTTTGACCATTTGTTTGAAAAACTCTTGACTTAAATATTTTCTCAGAAATTTTTTTAATTCATCTTTATACAAATAAAAAAATATTTAAAAAAACACAGAAAAATGACTTTACATTGTTTGAAATTCATGTAAGGATTTTCTTAATTTTACCAGAGATGTAGGTCTCGAGACTTAAGTCTTGGCCTCAAGTCTCATATTTAACTGTCTATGTTTTAGTCTTGAAGCTTGAAGCCTTGGTCATGAAAACCTGGAGTATTGGTCTTGATCTTGGACCTATACTGTCTCGTACTTTCTTGATTCTTACAAAAAATATCAACACAATGAATGGCTTGGTAATTTTTATTAAATTGTTACTACTAAGATTATGGTGTTTTATAGGTTAGAAGTCCAAGTTATACATAGTTGTCTGTTTTACTTCTTACAAAAAGCATTTAAACAAAATACGTAATCTTTACTTTACTTTTTTTTTTTGTAACTATAGTACTCTATTCCTAATTTCTGAATGTGATGGTGTTGCGTCATTTGAAATGGTACATTTTGCTTTTAACAGTACAAGAAACCTGTTAATTTTTTGTTATTACTAAAGTTACCTATTGTAGACTGAAACAGTGCACTGCACAATTTGAAATAACCTAATTTTATTATATAAGTATAATTATGTTTTATTATAGAGTAATGTGCATAAATGGTAAAATGGTACATTAGCTAAAGGTATAATAGTACACATACATGTTTGACCATGAGTCTCATTGTGTTGAACTTCTAAAAACCTAAGTCTTGATTTTGGTCTTGTGAAAATTTTTGAAGTCTTGGTCTCGGTCTAGGGTTGACTTTTTTGATGTTTCGGTCTTGGTATTAGTCTTGAAATCTTAAGTCTTGGTCTTAAGCCCAAATGCCTTGATCTTAGTCTTGGTCTTGACCTTCACCATCTAGACTCCATCTCTGAATTTTACTACTAGAGATTTGTATACACAGAATGTTCATTTTATAAATAAAATTTATTGTCTGCAAACACTTTATACTCCAATTCTATATCCATTCATATTTTAAATCCATATTGTATATTTATATAATATTCAATAATCATCTATGCCTATAATCCATTCATTAATAGATTAGTGTTCAAAACTTAATGTCATTCAAAATTTACAAAAACAAGAGAAAAACTTCATATCTAAATGGGCACCTATTATCCATCCCATAGGCACCTATTTATGATATTTTAATATTTTTGATAACATATTAAAATGTTTTAATTTCATTTTTAGGAAAAGAAAAATTTTCACGTGGTGTAGGATACTATCCTAACACTCCTGTTCAGACAGTTATGGATGCAGTGTATGCTGTAGCTGATGCAATACATGTATATCTAAGCTATGTGTGTCAAGATACTATGATTTGGATGCAAGGTAAAGATAGTTGTGTACTTGATACTGAAGACCGCAAGATGTATTCTAGTCATGTTTATCAAATGCTTGTAAGAATGTCATATACAGATGGCACACTTGAAGATTTTAAAGTACCTTACAGCCGAATTCCTGAAACTGTTGAGTATGATATTCATCAACTAATATTCAACAATGGAAGCTCCAAAAATATACTGAGAGCAAGTTGGTCCCTTAACAGACCTGAACTGCATTTATTTCCAGATGAAGTACTTTTAGGCAGTAAACCAGAGTTTGACTTAAAATACAATAATGAAACAGATTTAGCACCAATCATAACTTGTAGTGATGAGTGTCCTCCTGGATACATTAGGATAAATGATTTAAACTTGGAAAAAGAAAAGTGTTGTTGGAGTTGCAAAAGGTGCCCTTGGAACAGCATATCTGTTAACAATACATGTGTAAAATGTAAATATACTGAAAATGTTGATTTTGAAAAAAATTTATGTAAAACACTTCCAGAAATTCATCTTTATATTGGAGGACAAAACTTACTACTCATACTACTGCTGTTCTCTATTATTGGTATTTGTTTGCTTCTATTTTTCACAACTTTGTTTATTTACCACATCCGTAGTAAAATAATGAAGCGATGCGGAAAAGACTTATTCTTTCTTATCTTATTGGGAATAGGGATGCTATTTTTATGCCCCATTCCATTTATGGTATATCCATCAATGTTAGTATGTATATTTAGAGGTGCTCTTCCTGGAATGGCTTTTCTCATTTGCTATGCACCTCTATTTCTTCGAATAAGTCGAATTTATAGAATATTTATTTATGCAAAACAATCTGTGTACAGTCCTGTACTTATCAGTGTGCAATCACATGTGATTGCAGTTTTAGCAATAATATGTGTGCAAATGATAGTAGCTGGTATTTGGTTCACAGAAAAAACACCAATGGCTTCATTCATTTTAACAGAAAAGGGTGATTACATTTCATTTCAGTGTTCTGGTAATGAAAGTCCAGTATCTATGTTCATCAATTTAACATTAAGCTTCATTTTTATGGTATCATGCACAATACTTGCTTTCAAAACACGGCATTTTCCAAAAAATTATAATGAAGCCAAATTTATTGGGGTTACACTATACATTACATGCGTACTCTGGGCAGTGTTCTTACCCACTTATTATTTGACAACAGGTAAAGGTATTTTTTTGCGAGAATATCTTCTCAGCACATTGTGTATTACTATTGGATTTGTTAACTTATTTGGTTTGTTTGGTCAAAAAGTGCGGCTTTTAATGTTTCCAAGGAATCAAGATCAAGACGCTAACAACCCAAAAACATGGTCAATTAGTCATTCAAACGAATCACAACTGCTAGAATCAAAAACAGGAAATGCTAAACTATAAAAATCTTTGTGTTTTTAACATAAATCTATAAAAAAATATAATTATCTATTATCATTATTATATAATTAATAGATTTAGAGTAAATGTAGTTTAGTATAGATTTAGTAAACATTTTTAAAATAATAAACTTTCACCATTTTTAATACAAAAGTACTGTATACTAAAAATTTTATAACAATAAAAATGTAATTGTACAAAATAGTTTAAATGTAATTTTGCATATTGGTAATATTTAATAAAAAAAACCAAGTTATGCAGTTATATATTCTATAACAGTTTTTTTTTTAAAAGTATTTCCATGTTAGTAATAATGCACCATACACCACACTTATACTAAACTTGTGCATTCTGTTGAATTCTGTTTGAATTAGCTGAATGCCTTTTATAATTATAGAACAGTAATGAAGGGTGTTTAGAAAAGTAATGAAGGGTGTTTAAAAAAGTAATAAAGAGTGTTTAGAAAAGTAAAGGAGTAAATAAAAAATTCAGTGGGATTTCAATTCTCTTTATAAAATTAGGAAACTCAGGTTTAAAATTTTTATTTGCAACCCAAAAACATTTATATGCAGTGTATTACTTTGGAAAATATTTTTTATTTTATTATGAAAAAGATTATATTTATATGAAAATTACTGCAATGAAAAAAATTAGAGTAATTATGAGAGCATTTTTAACTATTTTAATTTGTCGGTAAAACACATTATGTTCATTTATTGAAGAGAAAAAAAATTGGTAAAACATATACGTGATGTTATTTTATTGAGAAAAAAAAACAGCATAAAAATATTAAAAATTTGTTCCTGTAAAATTTTAGCAAAAATATTAAAGAGGTTTTTTCTTTTTTTTTTTTTTTATAAATTTTTTTTGTTATTATTGAAAAAAAATGATGCTCTAATAAAAAAATTTTTATTATAAAATATTAATTTTTCTTTTTCTTATAAATTTTTCTTTTGTTTCTTTTATTTCCTGAGATTCAAAAAATTTAATATTTTCCGAGTTTTTTTGCTTCAGTATGTTTTTTTGCTTCAGTATGTTTTTTGGCTTCAGTATGTTTTTTGGCTTCAGTATGTTTTTCAGTATGATCCAACAAAAATATTGAGTTGTTACATAAAAGTTGAAATTTATTTTAATTTTCATGTAACAACTCAAATATTAATTCAAAAGCTTTTATAATTTAGTTTTTGAGTTTACACCCAGGTTTCATATGTGTATAAAATGAATAACATTATTTTAGGAAAATGAACAACAATGTTTTAAGAAAAAAAAATATTATTTGAAAAAAATTACCTTTAGAGTCTTTCTGTTTAAACATTGCACTTTGCACTTCTTCTATAATATTCTTATCTTTGACATTTTCTTTTTTAATTTCAATAACTTTTTTCATTGATTTATCCTCTTTTAAAAGAAAACCTTTCTTGAAACCACAGTATGATGTTTTTTCATTTTTAACATCTTCACTTTTGAAAGTCTAAATTTTAATTTTATTGGTCAACTTTAAAAAAAATTTAATTTTTGAATTAAATTAAAAAGAAAGACTTAAAAACAAAATATCATCAAAAACAGCAAGTATCAAAGAATCATGCAGGTAACAACTGCATTATTTAATTTGGAATCACTAAATAAATTGGCAACTATGCATGTAAGAAGGAAAAAAACTAGATAAATGAATGTGACCATTGACCATTTAAGAGCTACCACTGCGAAAGAATGTATCAAAAGAACTTAACTTATTTTACTAAACAACTTATTCATACAATAATTAACTTTGGCAGGTAAAACAAGAAATAATGGCTTATTTGAGTCAAAAAAAAAAAAAAATTTACACCAGCAAGAAAAAGATTCAACTTTGGCTGTTAAAACAGATCTAATTATGTTTACGATGTGATTTTTTATCTTGTCCTAAACAGAAAAAGTTTCGTTACACACACACATACACACACATATGTGTGTGTAAGTGTGTAACAAAAATGAAACATGATTTTTACTATTAGTTTCATGCTATTTGTAATCATGAGGTAAACAAAAAGGTTTTCCATTTTTATAAAGTATTTTATTTTTACCTTAAAATCTGGAGTAATTACTGAGCATTTAAACTTTAATTTTGAAAAGATTATCAACCAAGCAGCACAAAACAAAGCATTATAGTTAGCCACAAAACAAAGCATTATAGTTAGATGTTGTATTGGCTCATGATAACCATAGCCATATCATGATCTTGTGTTAGCACCATGCTAATAGACATAGGCTTATTGAGTATATGTTAATATGGTGCATGTTTCACTAGATTGGCATTACATTTACCTAATGTTGGTAAAAATATAGGCATTATGTCTGCCTAACATAGTATACTGTTGGCATCATATTGGTATATAAGTGGCTAATATTTTGGTTAATAGTATTTATGGATGTGAAAATAAAAAAGTATGAAAATCATCCACAAAATGTAATTTTAGCAAAACTTTTTTGTAACTATTTAGATCCAAAATTATCTAAATAAATTTTGCAAAAACTTGTTAAAGAAAAATATCTTTTATTAAGAATACTTATAACATTGATAACAAGCTCAATACTACAACCTATTATTATATAATACTACAACTTATTAAAGTTATATTACAAACACAACTAAAACTTCTATTTCTTTATCATAATTTAAAAAATAATAATTAATTTAAAACCACATTCAAACTTAGAAAACCTTTTAAACATAAATTCAGATTTTGTACGCCCTACAAAAAATTTAGATTTTGTACACTGTACAATGGATTGACACTAAAAAACCTAGTTGATCTGGCTGAGTCAGTTTGAAAAAACTCAGTGAAACATTTGATACTATTAGTTATTTTTATATCTATCAATAGGTTAAACTTCAAAATACTTTTTCAAATAATTTTTTATAAAATAAATATTTCTATTGTAATATAAATTTTTTATAAAATAAGTATTTCTTTTGTAAACACTACCTTTTTGGGAGTTGGAGCTTGAAGTAAAGTATTTATTTTCTTTGTTCTTGAATCATTTTCATTATCAGTAGCTTCTAGATATTCATTGGTTTTATAAGAATTTTTAAAGTTTAAAGGACTGAACTTGGTTATTATATCAGACAAATCTTCTAAAGGTGGAACATCATCTTCTAAAGGTGGAACATCATCTTCTAAAGGTGGAACATCATCTTCTATGGAGAGTATAATAATTAAAGCATATTACATATAAAGGTAGCATACACACTAAAGTACTTAAAATATTTGGGAACAAATATATTTAAAAAAATCACCTTTAATTTCAGCCATTTTACTTTCAACTACTATATCTGCAACCTGTTTACACACTTTGCACCTTAAAACATGTATTTATGCTAAACGTCCATGCTAAAGCAAACACAAATATTAATCATTATCTCATAAGTTAAATAAGAAACTTTAGCAAAAGTTATAATTGTTATTATTATCATTTTGAAGTTTTTTATGATCAGTTTTCTTTTTTAATTTTCAAAGTTGCAAAACTTTGGTGAAAAAGTTATAAATAAAGTCTTAGAAAGAAAAATTAAATATTATTTATTCTATTTTATTAATAATTTTTACACAATTGATTGATATAGTAAAACAAATACAAAACAAGAATTCAATGTACGAAGGTTTAAATGTTATTATTTTCAAAGAATTATACTCTTCATTTTCAAGTATTTTATTAAAAATTATTAACTTATCATTAAAAAATGGTGAGTTTCCTTCTAAATGGAAAAAATCAACAATCATTCCAATTTCAAAATTAATTTCGCCAAAGTTACCACAAGATTTAAGACCAAATAATGTTTCCTACTTATGAAAAAATATTAGAAATTGCTGTTTACAAGCAGTTGTCAAGTTATTATAAAAATAATTTTTGTTTTTTAAATCAATTTGGTTTCAGAAAAAATAGATCCTCTGAATCAGCTATTCAACTACTGCTTTCTAAATGGAGAACATCTTTGAATAACAATAAATTTGTTATAACTATACTAACAACTCTAGACTATACTAATAATTCTAGACCTTAAAAGGGAAACAACTAATAGAGAGATTCTTATAGAAAAATTACAAGGTTACAAATTTAAAGGCACAGTTCTAAATTGGATTGCAGACTATTTTTCAATGAGAACTCAAGTGGTCAAAATCAAATGTGAAAACCTTGGAGAACTGGTTTGTGATATAGGGGTTCAACAGGGTAGTGTACCTGGACCTATTGTATTTATTATTTACATGAACAATATTGCATAAAAAACTTAGTATTCTTTTGTAAATTTGTTTGCTGATGATACATTGGTTTGTATTGAAGGTACAAACTTTGAAGAAACTGTTTTTTAATTAAACCAAGATTTAATTTTTTTTTTTTGTAAATGATTAAGAAATAACAATCTTAAACTAAATACTCTCAAGTCCATGGCCATGCTTATTGTAAATTCAAAAAAAAAAAAGGAAAGATAGTTTAATAAACCATAAAAATAACATAAAAGTTATATTAGATGACGTAGTCATTGAGTTTGGTGATTGCGTGAAGTATTAGGGATTACTGATTACCAACTTAATTTTACTGTACAGATCAAACATATCTCAAATAAAATTGAAAAGAAAACTGGATATCTTGGTAGAATAAGCAAATATTTAACTCAATAGACCAAAAAGATAATCTTTTAAACTACAATTGCCCTTAACTATATATATAGTTAAGAGCAATTGTAGTTTAAAAGATTATCTTTTATATAAATACTGTTCTACTAATTTTCTTGATGTAAACAACAATAACTTCAACACCTTAGAAATACTAAAAAACAAAGCAATAAGAATTATACTAGTATGTGGCTGGTCAACTCACAAAATAGAAATGCTAAAATTGCTTGGTTGGATCAGTGTAAAAAATAGAATAATTTTTAAATCACTATGTTTCATTCACAATGTTACATCAACTAAAAATGATATTTTTAAACCATTCTATTTAAAAAATTGTGAGTTACATCAACATAACACTAGAGAAACTAGTTATTTTCATAAAAGTAGCCAATATAATAGAACAGGGCAGAAGTCATTGTTCGTGTTTGGTTTAAAACTATACCATGGAGTAGCTCGTGGATTTGTTCAACTATACTCCGAAATATTCAACAAAAAAAAAAAAAAAAAAAACTACTCCAAACATTAAAAAATAAAAATTTTATTACATAGTGAACATTTATTTTGTAAAAATTGCTAAACCAACATTAAGTCGCTAAATAAATAAATAAAAAATAACTATTAGGCTTTAGCAGTTAAGACGATATAGTTGTTGTTGTTTTTTGATTACGGTTGGTAGAGTTATTTTAGTAGGGTTGCGATGGGAACACATGGTAAAACATGGATTTTATAAAAAAATTATGAGATTTTACGACGCGACAATAGACAAATAGGTTAGGCACTCAGGAAGTGCTGCTACATCGACTAAGGGTTTGCTTTGGACTGACAGTCTATCAATTAAAAAAAATTGAATCATAATCATTTTCGTAATTTTCGACATTATTCAATATTTAATTATTTTGGTATTAGTCATTTTCTGCTGATTTCGATTTTATTTTCCGATTTTTTTTTTATTCATATATTTGCCCTACATATAACCAAGGCCGGCGCGATAGGGGGGTGTGGGGGTGTTACATCTCCTTATCAATGACTCTTAGTCGGCAAATTTGACCCTTAGTCGGCAAATGTGACCCTTGTAGACTAGTTAGTCGGAAAATGTAGACCTTGTCGATAGGTTGGTCGGTAAAGTCAGTTGGAAAATGTCGTTATGAAAGTCGGTAAATTTTAAAAAATGAGGACCATTTTTTTTTTTTTTTTTTTTTTTTTTTTAGGCGGCAAAAGTTGTAATGGCACCCCCACGTGACCCCTACTCGCGCCGGCCCTGCAAATAACATTTACAAGTTTCGTAAATTAAAAGTGTAATATTTACAAGTCTCGTGAGTCAAAAGGAATTTTGATTATCTAGATTGCAAATTGATTTATTTTTAGTTACTAGTTTGTTGTATAAATAAGGACCCCGATATGAAATTGAGAACTGCGAAAGTTTTGTTTCTTTGAAAGGTGTAATAAAGTTTCCTTTTTCTCTTGTGTTATATTTATTAACGTTATTTATAAAAAAGTTATTTAAAAAATTGTTTGGTACTTGACCTAATTTAAATTTTAGCATAAATAATATATTTTGGTAAATGTTAATTTGATAAATATTAAGCACATTCATTTCTTTAAAAAAGGGTTCGGCGTGTGTAAATTTGTCTTTAGTAGATTGTCTTACTGTTTCTGACGTCGGTATAAAGTTTTCAATTTGATAATATGCGTACTCGCCCAAGCTATATTCGCATATATGAGGTAGCTATGTATAAACTAGGAATATATAAGTTTTAAATTACTTTGCGACAGCATTGGTTTTGCTTTATAAAGTAGACCTATGTTTTTTGATATTTTAGTGTTTAAAAGCATTTATGTGAGCTTTCAAAGATAAATTTTCATAAATTATAACTCCTAAAAATTTAGTTTCGTGAGTTCTCTCAATTACTATATTTTCTATTTTTAGAGAGGGTAGAATATTTGGTAGTGTGTTTCTTTGTTGGTTTGAATGAAATAAAGTGTATTTTGTTTTTTCTATGTTTAAAGATAACTTATTTGTTTTAAACCATATATTTAATTTTTGGAGTTCTATGTTTACATTATCATACAGATCCTTGATGTTTGTCGAAGAGTAAAATAAATTTGTATCGTCTGCAAACATTATAATTTCAAGTTTGTTAGAAACTTTTGGAAGGTCGTTTATATAGATTAAGAACAATAGAGGAGCAAGAATCGAACCTTGAGGAACACCGCGAGTTAAGTTTAATAATTTAGTGTGGTAATTATCATCTGTAATAACACATTTTTGTCTGTTATACAGGTAACTTTTAAACCACTGCAGTGTATGGTTTTTTAATCCGTATTTTTCCAACTTTTTTAGTAGGATTTCATGATCTATTGTGTCGAACGCTTTTTCTACAAAGACTCCTAATACGAACTTCTTTTCAATGCTTTTCTTTTTTTCATATTTTTCGAAAAGTCCCTTTTCAAATTAATTCAGTTTAGCTGTTTACGATACTGTTATGACTACTCAAAATGTCATTATCTCTAATAAATGTCTCTAATAGTAATCTCTACTGAGGGTAAAACAATTATTAAAAATTATAATTGTTACAAATACAATAAAACAATTATTACAAACTTATTATATAAACAATTAACAAAATGTTTAAAACAGCAATAAAACTAGGGTTGTTAACCGGAGGATTTCGTGCAATTCCGGAAAAACAACATTCTTTCGTAAGGAGATTGAGAACTAGGAATTACATTTTTTCGTACCGAATGTTACAAAACATTTAAAATTGCCGATGTTCATTTCGCAAAAGCCACTTCCGAAATTTAGCATTTCGCAAGTTGACATACGAAACAAAACTATTTTGCAACATACGAAAGTAGCGGTTTCGGAAGTCGCACTTGCGAAACAAACATTTTCGCCAAACGACGTTTTGAAGTCTATAAAGAAAATTTGTTTGCCAGACTGATTTTAATTGTAAAAATTAACATCTTTAAATCCCAAAATGTTTATAATGAATTTTTATTTTCAGTATAATAACATATTAAATTTTTATGGTTTTATTTTTAAAAATATTGATAAAAAATAAAATTTCTTTCGAAACGAAAGTATTTCGGATCACAACATACGAAAGAATTCTTAACGGAAATAAACTTACGAAACGTGCCATAATAAATATGTATAACGATGTTTTTTGAATTCATTACGTATATTAAAAATAAGAATGATGGGTAGAAATATACATGTTTTTTTTTTTTAAAGCATATGAAATTTTTGAAACAGGTTCGAATATGCTTAAGCAAATAGTAAAAAGAGGCTCAAAAATATGCTTTAGCTTAAGCATATTTCTGATAAAATAAACCTATTTCAATAATTTCTAAAAGTGTGCACGTTACTAAAGTTCTAGCAGATTTTAAAGGTATGTAGAGTCCTGTTTGAATACGCTTTTCGAAGTATAGATCTTCGAAAATATTGTTTTTTAATTTTAATAAGATATAAATTTAAGTATAAGATCGTATAGTTCAATCAGTTAGATACGTGATAATTTGCCGCAGAGATCCGGGTTCGCATCCCGCAGCCATTGTAACTTTTGTTCATTAAACTCTTTTTACTTAAGATAGCATTTTTTGACCTCCATGTTCTATATTACAGATCTTTCGTCACCTTCATAATAGTGACAACCTCTCTTCTGTTAGTTACTCTTTTAAGATTGAGTTCATTGTGCTTAATTGTACACTTTTCCCTTGCTTTACTAAGTTCTACTTAAATTATGATGAAATGTACGTAAAACAACTTTTTCAAATAATATAAATCATTTTGCTTTAAATCTTGTGCTTTTTGTACTAGACATCTGTCCTAAACACTTTGTAATAATTTCTAGCTAACTCTGAGTCTAATATAATCATTTCTGAATATAATTTCCCTGAGGCTCAGGGAAATTATATTCAGAAATGATATATATATATATATATATATATACATATATATACATATATATATATATATATATATATATATATATATATATATATATATATATATATATATATATATATATATATATATATATATATATATATATATATATATATATATATATATATATATATATATATATATATATATATATATATATATATATATATATATATATATATATATATATTAGGTATATTTGTATAAACATTTGAAGAACCATTTGACAACCTTTTTTTATAATTTTATTATTTATTATTTAAACTGTTAACAGTTAATATCTTAAATATATCGTAACATAAAATCTTTTGCGTCTTTTTCGTAACTGCACATTCCGGAATGCATTTTCCGTAACGAACTATTTCGTAAGTATTCTTACGAAATGATTTGTTTCGCAAGTTTTTTTTCGCAATGCTTTATTACGGAATTTTATTTATTTATATTTTCGTATTGCGCGTTACGGAATGTGCATTTTTGCATGTGCAACTTCCGCAATAACAATTCTATTACGGTAGATAAAGATGCAAGTTTTGTTTTTCGGCGAACAACCCTAAATAAAACACAATAATTAGAATAATGGGTGAAAAAGTTGGTATTGTATTTTTTTGAAACTAAAAGATTTAAAATATAACTTTTCTTCATTATCACTGCCATCCTATACTATGATGGCAATGATAATAAAGAAAAATCTTTTGGAAAGACTTTTAGTATTATTGTAGTGACGTTTTTCTTTCTAAACACTTTTAATTATACTAATTAATTTAGTTTTTTTCAGAAATTCTGAATCAGAATGTTGTAAAAATTTGAAAAATGATGAAAATTGTAAAAATGATTAGCTATAGAACAGTGGTTAGAACGCTAGTTTCAAAAGGGCCAATGTTCGATACTTGTTCTGACCTATTTACGATATCGGTAAGTAAGGAGCTTAAGACATTAAATGTAATTATTGTAAATAATTGTATTATATATAAACTATTAATGTGTTGCGTCAGAAGGAATTTTGTGGGCGCGTCGTATATATTATATTGTACATGACGTTTATACTGTTTATTATACTCTCAGGGGTATTTGCAAATGTATATATATTGAGTAAAGATATTCAGAAAGACAGTAAGAAAAAATAAATATATAATTATTATTACAAGCTATTTCGGCAATGAGTATCGTTATAAAGTTTGCGGATCTGATACCACCACAATACGATGGTTCGGGTGATTTTTCAGAATGGATACAGAAATTGGAAATGGTAGCAAAACTTCAAAAAGTTGACGAGCTGCATGTGGTGCTCCCCTTATTTCTTTCTGGCGGGGCGTTTGCCATTTATCAAGGCCTAAATGATGAGATAAAAGAAGACTACAATGAAGTGAAAACTGCGCTGACTACTGCCTTCTCTGCTTCTCAACTAACAGCATACGAAATACGTTCGTAAATTGCCGTCTTAAAGAGAATCCGTTGACGTATATCTCGCAGAATTAACAAGACTGAGCAAGCTAATATCATCTCACGTAAGTGAAGAGTGGATGAGGTGCGCATTTATTCTTTGATTACCTGACGAAGCAAGAAAACAGCTGCAAACTGCATGCTCAATATCAACAATGTCGCTGTGCCACATCGCTGAAAAATCCAAAAGTTTGGTAATTTTACGTCAAAAAGAATCGTGTTTTGTCAGTTGCGTGAATCTGGTT